TTAATCTGCTGAATCTCTCAGCTCCTCTTCAGATTGGCAGTATAGGGCCACTGATAAACACCTCAGCATTCAAAGAGCTGACTGTGTTCAACAGATTATTAAAATCCTCTTTCAAGACTTCAGACTGTTGCATTGGTCCCGATGTGCAGTATGATGTTTTCACAGTAGGATGTTCAGCCACGATATACAGGATTCTTTCTGCCAAGTCAGACACTGTATCCTTCGGAAAGCAGAGTATTTTGGTGTTCTTACTGCACATGCTTACATCGTTTACAGCAGAGTCACCCACAATCAGAGTTTGAGGCCCAGTCGTTAGCTTTCCCTGCAGCCTTTTACTTTCTGATTTACTCTCAGTCCTTACCCTTCTGTGTGAGGATGGGATGTTATCCAGGTCATCAAACGGAGATCCAGGGTCCTGCAATAGTGGTGAAAATCTGTTCTGCTGTTGCACACTCAGTTGTTGGGGAGGTTAGTTGCTAACTCTCCCTTTCGCAGCTGTCCACGGCTGTGTCCTACCAAGAACAAGGGTTGAAGAGGCGCTCTGCCTGGATGATAATGCAGGCCAGCCAGTCACATCACAATCTCAGTGCGCTGGGTTCTGCCTGTTACTCGTCCTCCCATTTCCCCAGGAAAAGATTTACTCTTAGGCTTTGCACCAAGAGCGTTCCAGAGAGGACTCCCACTTTCAGATTTATTACCCAGTACACAGGCCTCCTGCTTGTTGGTAGTCTTGTTGGTGCTAATTAGCCGTGTGTTAGCATGGTCTTGTCCACTGTTGTGGGTCCACGGTAAAGTGGTGTCATTCCCACATAGTCCATTCACTTCCACATTCACTTCTAACCTGTGGATCTTGGTTTCCAGCACTGCAATTTTCTGTAGAAGTCTTCCGTGGAGAAGGGGGGCATCTTGTTGCTAATTAGCATTAGCTATAACTCCAGTCACTGCAGTACAGGCTAGTGCTACTGATAAGCCGCACTCGCGTAGCACTAAGATCATAAAAGTTTTTAAAGTATGGCAAGAGCCAACTTTATCTGACAGTCCCAGTGATTTAAAAGTATCCAAGAGCTGCTGATTTCTAGCAGAAAAAAGGGAGTTTAAGCAGAAGAATGCAAGCAGAGGCAAGAGCAAGCAGCAAAGCGTCTGCACTGTAAGAAAGCAGGAAGCAGCTATCAAGAGGTAGTTATTCATGTTGTGATACAGTACGTTCATATCCAAGTATGCAGTGTTATTTGCATGGTCATGGAGTGAATGTTCATATCTAGAAGTTTAACTGTTATGTTATGGTCATGGGGGCCTACTTGGATTCTAGAATCAGTGGGAGGTGTAGAGCTTTCCAGCAGGTATAACTAGTGATTTACATATATATATATATATATATCACAAGTGATGGATGGTATTATTATGTTCTGGAGTATTCGAGAAATAAGTTTGTACATTTACCGACTTATTCCAAATGAAGGCATATATATCGCCAATATCTTCTTACTAGGTTAAAGGTTTGTTTATTATTCCTAACAAGCTATCGTAGCGGTAGCATTCAGGCTACCTAGTATGTGGATGAGTATTGTGTATGTGTGCGCAATAAAGCTTATAACGTGACTCGAGTTGTATCCACTGTACTTGTCCTGAAACCCTTCCAGTGGGGAGTTTATTGAGCTATTGCAGGTAGCTCAGTAGAGAACTCTACATTCTGAAATGCTCCCTGTGGGATATGCAGCCTGAAGAGCTGAGCTGAGAAGAAGGTAGTAGAAGCACAAAAAGGACAAATTAATAAGTCTGCACGCGCCGCTGCTGAAACCATTCTGAGACGCTTCCAGTGGACTTTGATGCCATGCTATGGATGCATCAAAACCAAGATGCAGCTGTAACGTGTCGTAACCCGAGTCAGTGGATTTCTGGCGCTTGTAATTGGCGAGCAGATCTGTCACACAAGGATGAGAAGGGAATGAATTTGTAATTGCATGACTGTTTAAAATGGGTCAGATGCGCTGTATAATTAACCTACATTTTAATCACCACCTTCACGATTAGCTAATCGCATTCTTTCAAACCACAATTTCGATTTGAAAACGATTAATCGTTCAGCTGTATATGACACCTGCCTCCGAAGTTTGTATAAGCAACGTACCACTGCACTGAACAAGACCAGGTCAGGCACGCCTGAGTCAGAGTTCTGAAATACTTAAATATAATAAAAAAATCACTTATCTTCAGCTATGGGTAGGCCTGTTTCTGGATCAGCTTCCCCTGTGCTGGACCCTCTGCTTGTACAGCTACATATGCATGAGAAGGACATCAGTAATAAATATAATTAACAATAATCCATTTTCTAATGCAATCAATGAATGATTGCCTACCCAGCCCTGCACATTGGCCCTGTACCTGCCACTGCTTTGTCTGGTTCCATTGTCCTTCTCCCCCTGCTTCTCTTCCTTGTCCTTCTCCTGCAGCTCCTCCTGTTCCTCCTCCTCATCAATATGACTGGGGTCATCATCACCCTGTCCCTCTCTCACCTCCACTGACCTAGCAGCTAATATGCATATACAGAGATTCCTCACTTATAGAACAATGTTGTCTTGTTGTCTGTGATAACACATTGCAAACTGTTGTTTATAATATATATAAATATATAAAATAGCCTATATGCCTATACATAAATGCATATATAAAAAATTTCATTAGGCCTATATATGATCTATACATTACTTATCAGTGCCTGTGCTGGGTCTGCCACAACACCTATCGACCAAGGAAGTGGTCGGTTAATTTGGCACATTTAGCTGCCTCTTGTGCAAAAGTTTTTTTCTTCTTAATTCATATTTCTTTGGCACCACACATTTCTTTTTCCTCTTTATTTCTTTTCGACATATTTACCTTCTCTGCTTGTCACACAACCCTGGGTTGAGTTTAGCCCTGACAAAACGTATTGAGATTGAACTCGTCTCATATGGACGCTGTAGAGCGAATCAGATTTCAGCAAAAACGAGGACTGCTCATATCCCCCCTCAATATTATAAGTATTATTTTGGCCCAGACACTGTTCGCAGCCAGCTCTCTCTCTCTCTCTCTCTCTCGGCACAGTTACGCTGTCATTCTGTGGGAAACACTGTATTTCCATATAATTGGGATTCATGTTGATAAATAGGCCTATGGGTGGGCAGGAGGGTGAGTGTGAGCAAGTTTTCTCAATGCGACAACCCTGTCCATTATTTAGTGACTGGTACGCTACCTTATCTGCCTTTTTGCTATCTTGGTTATTAAGTAATATACAGTATTCCACCGTGTTGTCCACCTTTAAATGGTCTGCATTACAACAACATGGGGCGCAGTGTCAAAGATGCGCTGTTTGTAGTCCATCTTCGGAATATTGTAGTTTCATCATGGCAAGCCACGTCAGTAACATCCGCCGTCGTATAATTACGTTGCTTAGAAAAGAGCAGTCGGATTCTCTGAGCCCCGCGGTCCACTTTTCCTAAGTCCTAACAGATTCTCCTTCACATCTTTCCATGACCTTATGACGTTTTTCATCGAGGTCAAGGAAAGGAGGTTAAGAAAGGAGATTTTTTTTGTCCACAGCCCTGCTGTGCTGCAGAGACAGGAGAAACAGGGAAAGAGCCAGGAGGTGCTGCATGAATATATGCTCATCAATACAGCACCTTAATCAAAAATGATTTTAAATATGCCTAGTAAAAATTTGGAAAATCAATATGGCGGTCCACGTTGATAATTATACAAATTATAGGCTGACTTCACCCCCAAACAAAGTAGTCTCCCCTGACTTTTTAACTAACATCATATCCATAACAGCAGCAAGGAGTGTGGTTTTCACAAAGCATATAGCCTAGGCCTAACGTTTCTTAACGCCACCGGCTGAAATAAAAAAATCAAGCAAGTAAATCCCGACTTTTAAACAGCAGTTTTACTGCACATGTAGCCTATTTATAAGAGCAATATTGCCAGAGTTTTTCTGTTGTGAGCAGATGCTTCAATAAATCAGATGTAGAAATGTTCGCACTGAAAGCTTTTTGCTGGTCGCACAGAGTTTACAATAGACGACAATGTTCTTTGCATCTTAGACTGTGACACAGTAATGGAGCAGCTACTTCCAGCTGTGGAAAGAACGCCTCTCTCCCTCGTTCTCCATTCTTCCTTAGTTTTGGCTGTCAGTGGACATGAACAACAAAGTCCGGTCCCGCTGAGCTGCAGCACAGTCGTGGATTTAAGTCAAGGATGGTGCGTTCAGTAACTAGTAATAATATTACCACACCAGAAAAGTAATTAGTTACAGTACTTAGTTACTGGGAAAAGTAATAGTATTACAGTAACGCATTACTGCCCAACACTACTCAAAAGCCACTATAATGTCCGTGATTAGCTCCGGCCACAGAGGCGCAGCCGTACTTTTTCAGATTTTGCTTATTTGTTCAGTTGCCATTGATTTTTGTGCTTCTACTATGGTTAAATAGGCTACATAGTTAAAAAAATTTTGTCTGTTTTAACTGTGTTTATTTTTGATGTACGATCGGGAGTCTGCAAAGGGTGTTTTATTTTGAAAATCGACCGGATTCTCTATGCCATTCTGTGTCTGACTTCCTGCCTGGTTCATCTGCTCTGTGCTGCTTGAGGTGACTTCTGTCAAAAATAGACTGGCAGCAAATATTGAACTTTAGCAAAACTTTAATTAAAAAAATATATATATATATATATAGTCCCAGTACACCCCTCCACACAATATTATAGTTGTAGGAATATTTCTATTCATATTCCTTATTAATGTTTATGTTAATTTGTCCAACATCCTTCATCTGACAACACCCCACTGTGTGGATAATTATGGAAGAACAAACACTGAAACAGGGTAAATTTTCTGTTACTGTATCTGCACCTATCACTCTTTCTTGTGGTGTACTACACATTTCTGTGCTGGGACCTTAAGTGAGGGGGCTGTTGCTTCAATAGCAATGATTGTGTGTGTGTGTGTGTGTGTGTGTGTGCCTCACCATCATTAATAATAGCAGTCAGCATGCTGCCCTTCTTTTTACTGGCGTGTCGGTCGTAGGACAGACACTGCAGGTCTCTGAAGCTGGGTGTTCCCTTGGGACAGGGAGGACCTTCGCAGGCCTTGTGCTCCACGCTGGCCTTCTGACAGTGTCGCCCACCAGGACCAGGCCTGCATGAGCAGGCACACACACACATCTGACAAGATTAATTGGCAGACTTTTTTGAGCAGGTATGATCATGAAAGTGCAAACAGGTTAGGGTTATCTATATATCTCTATATCTATCTATATTGCTACAACTATCGCTATTCATTTCTATACATCTGTCGGTATACATATCTATACATCTCTCTTGCTATACATATCTATACATCTGGCGCTCTACATATCTACACATCTTTCTTGCTATACATATCTATACATCTGTCGCTCTACATATCTACACATCTTTCTTGCTATACATATCTATACATCTGGCGCTCTACATATCTACACATCTTTCTTGCTATACATATCTATACATCTGTCGCTCTACATATCTACACATCTTTCTTGCTATACATATCTATACATCTGGCGCTCTACATATCTACACATCTTTCTTGCTATACATATCTATACATCTGGCGCTCTACACATCTACACATCTCTCTTGCTATACATATCTATACATCTCTCTCGCTATACATCTCTGTCGGTATACATATCTATACATGTCTCGCTATACATATCTATAAATCGCTATAGTTTTTTCTCTCTCTCTCCCTACACACACAGTCTCTCTCTCTCTCTCTCTCTCTCTCTCTCTCTCTTTCAGTATCAGTTCAGGTCATGTGCTTAATTGGTATGAATGTTTAAGTTAAACCAAGTTGCCAAAGTTGATTGCAGCAATATCAAAAGTTTACCTTTGAATAAGATTAATACAATCAAAACCATTCAATTTAGCAGTTAAAAAAACAAAAATAACAAATATAGATAAAACGTAAACTACAAATAAAAGTGAAACAGATGTAACCTGCCATGCAGCGAACGTAACGTGCAACAATTGGCTGAGTCACTCGCTGTATCTCAGGTTGTGACTCAGGGATGCTTGGCGGTGAGGTTTGCTGAATGTCCTTCTTCTAGGATTATTCTTAATTTATAGCTTTCTTGAAGATCTTTGAAATCCGGTATTATATTGCTCTCTTATGCTTCTATATTTATCACATTTCGGAAAAAATGTGTCTCTGTCTCCACCTCACCTGTTGTACAGTGACAGACTCCATAGAAGGGGTGGTGAGTGCATTGGATAAGACACGTGCCTTTGATGTAAGAGACCTGGGTTCAATTCCCCACTGTGTCATATTCACCATTGTGTCACATTCACCAATGTGTCACTGTGCAAGACACTACTAGAGAACTCCTAGTTGCTCCAGAGGCGTGTGCTCTTTTGGTAACCAGGACTTTTTATGTCTACCTTTTTCAATTGCAAGGGTGTGGTCACTGAGTCTGTACTTGGTAAGAATCTGCCTCTGCTTGATATCTCTGACAGCAGAGAGATATCCAGCCATTTCTTAATCTCTGTTTAGGGCCAGATAGCCATCTATTTGATGTTGGATTTTCTTTTCCTCCCAATGTTCCAAATAAGTATTTTTGTTTTGAGGGAGGTAGACGTTGAATCCTTAGAGAGACAAAATACAGTTACATATTAGGACCGGAGGCATACAGTCACTGCATTACATAGTAAAATATTTAAACTTTGCAGTAGGAGGAGCCCTTAGACAATGTCCTACCTGTTGGTTTCTCGAAAAGTCTGGACAATAGATGTCACTGTGTCCCGCCTGAAATTTGGCTGCACTCATTCACCAGCCTCTCTGTATGATACCCCATGGTTTATGACATGGTCTATGATAGTTGCTCTTATCTCATCAGTTACCATAGCCTTCTTTGAGCACCACCACGCATTCTGACTCCTCTACCTCTACCTTGTCCAGGTCCGGGCATTCCTCGCCCTTGCCCAACTCCTCTACTTTGTCCTAGCACTTGTCTTCCTCTCCCTCGTGCAGGCATTTTACTTACTTTCTTAGTGTTGCTCTATATTGTTTCTTTTCCACACAAGATCAGCCCAAAGAAGTCCTCTTTTATACCATATGGTCATGCAATTGAAAGAATCTCAACACCTGAGTGTGTTTCCTAGATGGGAATCAGCTGTGATTGGTCTATTTGCATACCTCCAATCAGCTGTTTCTCAGTAGCAATGTAATAAAAGAAGCATTTGTAAATTTGGCACTAAGAATCCATTGTTTTGATCTTGGTTGTATAAAAGAAGTTCAAGCATTTTAAATTTGTGTAAACTGTATGCATTTTGTGTCAAAGCAACAAGAAATGAGTTAATTGTATAGCCTACACAGACGGATGTTGTGCAAACTGTGTTAAGAGTTTAGGAAAATTGTTAAAAGTACTGGAAGGATTGTCATAGCGATCGTAAAAAACTGTAATGTCTAAACAGCTGGCAACAAAAGTGAGAACACCCATAAGTGTCATGTCCAGCGCCTGCAGCTAGGGCACGACCTCATTTTACTGTCCCTAGTCAGTTTCATTATTTGTTCCCACTTCCTGTTTTGTGTGAGTTACTTATCTTGTGTCTCATTTCAGGTCTTTGTCTGCCCTCCCACCAAGTGTGATTGCCTGTCCCCGCCCTCATGTGCTTCACCTGCACCTCACTGTCTCCTCTGTCCTAGTGTATATAAACCCACTCCTCCCTGTTGTCTGTGTTAGATCATCTTGTTCCCCAGTGACAGAGTTCTAGTTTTTCTGTGTTTTTCCCTATAAGTGTGTTTTGACCTTTCCTTTGGATTTTGGATATAGATTTCTGCCTAGCGACTTTGTACCTTCGCTTGTTTTTTGGATTAAGCAATAAACCTCCTTTTGTGAAACATCTGGAGTCGTGCCTTGTGAGTCATTTTCTACTGTGTGAGTGAGCCTTGATACTAAGTGAAAATGTCCAAATTGGGCCCAATTAGCCATTTTGTCATGTTACTCTTTGTGTTACAAGGTCTCAGGTGTGAATTGGGAGCAGGTGTGTTAAATTTGGTGTTATCGCTCTCACAGTCCCTCATATTGGTCACTGGAAGTTCAACATGGTACCTCATGGCAAAGAACTCTCTCAGGATCTGAAAATGGTTGTTGCTCTACAAAAAGATAGATAGAAAGTTCAGATGGTGTCATGTGTCTGTGCACTGTAAACCCCAACACACTGCTTACTGAAAAGCATTATGAGTTTAGCAATCAAAACCAGCTAGTATGTATACCATACATTAAACAACTAAGTCTTCTTAACGAGTTACGTTTTAATTATTTATGGATCATCGTTTTTGAGTGATTGATTTCTAAATCAAACCCTCTGAGTGTAGATATGCACGCAGACAATTGACGTCATTAAAGGCCGAACAGGTCTTTACGTTTTTGGAAAATTCAAGATGGCTACCCAAGGCAAGTGAGACGAATTTGCAAGTAACGGTGCAAAACTGTTAATTAACCTACTTTACAAAAGTCGAGAGGTTTGGTTTGGATGTGTGCTTGTTCTTTTATGTTTAAACTAGACAGAGCAGCAGACAAGGCACTCCTCAAACTTCAGGCTCTGGTACTGAGTGTAAGGGTCCTTATTTTGTCTTTAAGTATAAGGTAGAAAGCGGAAATACTTCTGCACCCAAAGAAATATTCTGCATAATTGGCAACATTTTATGTGAAACATGAACAATTTTTGGGAGTATTTTCACTTTTCAAATTACACTAGATTTATCTCTCTAAACAAGAGTTCAGTCAGTAGTAGAGACAGAAGGAGTGCAAATACATATGGAATTTATTGCAATGTGAACCATAAACAGTATATATGAAACATACATGAAAAACAAATGTGGAAAGTACTTAAAACTAACATTAAATGTAAAAGTAAACAGAGGAAGGAAAGGCCTTTTATACATCAATCTATGCCAACAGATCCAGACATCCAGAACACTGAGGATCCATCCCAGGTCTCTGCAGCTCTCTGGGCACCAAGTGGGACATCTGATCCAGACTGTGAATATGGGAAAAAATAATAAAAATCTAAAGTTAACCATAAAAGATGGCTGAGGTATGTGTTGACAACGCTATTAATGTAAATGCTCCGTATTTGTATAGCGCCTTTCTTCTCGACCAAAGCACTTTTACACTACATCTCCATTCACCATTCACTCACATTTATACACTGAGCCTAAGTGCTCAAACAGAAACTAACATTCACATACATATTCATACACTGGCGGAGCAGCCGCCATGGCCAATTTGGGCAGTGTCTTGCCCAAGGACACTTCGACCTTCCGATTAATGAGCAACCCTCTCTACCTCCTGAGCCACAGCTGCCCCTATTATGTCACATATTGGAGAAAATGGAAAGGAGCAACACCTCAAATGTATGAAAATCTTTAAATATCTTTTTTTGTTGTCTTTTAAAGACAGACTATCGAAAATCAGCTGTCATACGTCAAGTAGCCAAGACAAGTTTTTAGCAGTTTAAGCTGTGAGTAGCAGTCATGGTGGAGGCTTCATAGGTGGCCATGACCTCCACAACAACCGACCACTGAAAGAAATAGAAAGTTAACAATAACTAACTATCGTAACTATAGTTAGCCTATGTGAAAATGTAAATCCAGGTTCACTGATTTGCTTCGATTGTTCGTTTGAGATGTATTATACATTTTAACCTTGTGTAGTATAATCTCAACAACAGATAAATTGTTATTTCAAGATTTGTTGAGTAGTTTCAGGTTAACTTACCTTGAGTGTAACGTCAAGCTGGTAATGATACGGCCACTGGCTACCAGCCACCAACGTCGACTTGCCTCTGGGGGGTTTTAGACGATTAGCTACCTCCATGCTATCAACGCAGAGTAGCACATTAGCTTGGTAGCCATAAGTGCATGGTTTCAGAAATCAGGTACCTCAGCTCCTTCAAAACAGCTGTTCAGAAATCAGTGGGTGATGTCACGGACACTGTGTCGAGTTTTTATACAGTCAATCATCATTATACACGCAGTAATGTGCGCAGCATATCAACCCAAAGGTATCAGTCATCTGCTGCTCAGACTAAGTGGGCAGCCAAAACACATTGGTCTTGTAAACAAAAGGCAAAAGCAATAGTCACACAAAGGAAAGGCAATGACAATAAGTCTCTGAAGGGAATGGTAATGACAATAGATTTCGTATGGAAAAGGCAAAAGCAAATTTATGTATTTATTCTTTAATTCATTTATTCTGTCTTTCTTATATTTCCACATTTATTTATTACTTTATTTATTAATTCCCCCTTTTTTCTATTTCCTCATTTATTTATTTATTCTTTTATTCAGTCATTCATTCTTGCATATATTTCCATCCATCCATCCATCGTCAACCGCTTATCCCGCGTACAGGGTCGCGGGGGCATATATTTCCACATTTATTTTATTTATTCTTTTATTGATTGTTCTGGCACTTTAGGTGTTCCCTTATAGGTGGACTTGATGAATTATATACTGAATAGATTTGAAAGACTTGAGTTAGGATGTTTAAAGGAATCATTTGGTCTTACTAGGATGCTTCCTTATTAAAAGAAAATTAAATGTCTCTTGTTCCCTCAGCGGTAACAACATTAATCTACATACATTTGCATTCGCACATGGGCGTGGCAAAACGGCTCTTTAGCGGAAGGAATCATTACAGCCACCAGTAACACTTAACAAATTGGCATGCGAGTGTTGTATCAAGACAGATTTGCAAAAATATGAACCTATGCTTTCAGTTTGTGGGGGGCACCGATGACTTGTCTTGCCCGTCTGTGATGACTTGCAACCTTTAATCTTTTAAATTATTAAAAGACTTTTAAATTAATCTTTTAAATTGTTAAAAGATTAAAGGATTGTTTGTATTTTTCACTGACGACGCTCCTGGTGTGGTCCACTTCAACCTTGAGAGCGTTTCTGTTGTAGATGAAGTTGAAATTGTAAGTGATTTCCGCTGGTTGAACGATGCACTTGTACTGTTTAGCTTGATCTATCCTTTGCATTTAGACTATCCAAATAAACTATCCACTAATTTAGACATTCACCTGATGTCTTGATGATTGCAAACCACTGAAACTGTGCTTAAAAATAACTTGTTGAAAGAAGTTTGAATGCACACATGTACATAAATGGTACATCCACGTTATGTGGTTCTGTCAAAGTCTATAATACTGCTTTAACTGAAAGGAGACTGGGGACGGATGTGTCTGTTACAAACTCCTAAAAGCACTTCTGAACTGTGTCCATATGTTCAGTATGTTTACTTCAAACCTACAGCGAGGAATTTTCAAAACATAGGTTTTTGCTCAGGGTTTTTACCTGCTAATTTTAAACAATCGTAATAAGTGCTGTTATGGAGTACAATTATGCATGGTCACAGTTTTTTCCACAAAAATAAAGTGCAGGTAGTAAAAGGAATGCTTCAAAGACTTTGCTGTTAAGTTAGTTTTTACAGGGGTGAGAAGAAATCAGGGTTCTTAACTAATTGTTGGTTTTACAATTATCAGACTGACATTTCATTTTTCATTTCTCATTTTAATGGTGCTGCTTCTGACATTAGTTCTGCAACTAACAACTAACAATTTTATTACTGATTGATTCATTCCGTCTGATGGAAACAATTTTCACTGTGACAAATTTTGTTTGTATGAAATATAGAAATAACCGGAGATGTTACACGTTTTGAGGATGATGGAGTTGTACTTGTATTTTTGAGAATTACTGAGCATTTGGGTTTACAGCAGGTTAAAATATGGCACAAAGTGTGCCTTTGCAATTGCTAATTTGTTTTTGCTTTGTTTTTTTATTTTCTTTTGAATCTTTCTTTCAAATGTTGTTTATGTTTCAACCTGTCCTAAAAAAATATTGACTTGTACTTTTAATTTGACATGTTTGTTTTTTTTAAGTTAGTATTCAATGTAATTAGCCACTCAATCAGTTGCCACAAATATTTAAAGTTTTGAGGTAAATTATTTAAGTTTTAGTAAGTCAATGTTTTTGAGTTGGTATCAAAAATATTGAACAAGAAACTAATAAATATTGAGTTTATTGAACATGAAACACTGGGTGTTATACTTAAAATGATTTATTTATGTCAAATGAATATTTTGGGGTTTTGGCATTAACTAAAACTATTTCAGTTATGTTAATCTGTAATTTTATCTAATAGTAATCAAAAAGTACATGTAACCCAACTCCAAATATTTAAGCCCTGGAAACTACTCGACTTTTGAGTTTATAAACTCAAAAACATTGTGGCAACTGATTGTTTTAATGATTCGGTTTTACAGTGTGGCAGCAATCAGGTGAGGAGTACAAAGACAAGTGTGTCTTGGTCTGGGGCTGCATGAGTGCTGCTGGGGAGCTACAGTTCATTGAGGGAACCATGAATGCCAACATGTACCGCGATATACTGAAGCAGAGCATGATCTCCTCCCATTGGAGACTGGGCCGCAGGGCTGTATTCCAACATGATGATGACCCAAAACACACCTCCAAGACGACCACTGCCTTGCTAAAGAAGCTGAGGGTAAAGGTGATGGACTGGCCAAGCATGTCTCCAGACCTAAACCCTATTGAGCATCTGTGGGGCATCCTCGAACGGAAGGTGGAGGAGCGCAAGGTCTCTAACATCTACCAGCACAGTGATGTCGTCATGGAGGAGTGGAAGAGGACTCCATTGGCAATCTGTGAAGCTCTGGTGAACTCCATGCCCAAGAGAGTTAAGGCAGTGCTGGAAAATAATGGTGGCCACACAAAATATTGACACTTTGGGCCCAATTTGGACATTTTCACTTAGGGCTGTACTCACTTTTGTTGCCAGCGATTTAGATATTAATGACTATGTGATGTGTTATTTTGAGGGGACAGCAAATTTAGTTTAAAGTTATACAAGCTGTACACTCACTACTTTCCAGTGATGTCACATGAAAAGATATAATCAATTATTTTTTTTTAAATGTGAAGGGTACTTACTTTTGTGAGATACTGTATGTACACAATGCATGGGTATAGTCATAGTAGCGTCAGTAGTAGTAAATAATACTATTTATTGCACAATTTGTATTTGCAACATTTGTGCTTTTTTGCACCTGTGTGTCCGGTCCCTCACTAATTTTAAATTGGCAAGAGACTTCCACTTACAGTATGTGTGCCATCATACATGTTAGATATGTGCTGCTGTGTTGCCATCTGAATGCCCTATAATTTTTTGCCTCATTTAATGTTTTAGGCAATCACACACAGACACACCCACACCCAGACAGACAGACAGACAGATAACATACGGAGGGTTGTCACATTTCCTCTGTCTGAACTGGACTCCAGTACCGCAGGTCCTGCTGCACATGCTCCACTGGCTCCATGGACTCCAGTCACCATCCACATGCTGAGGGATGGGAGTCTTACTGACACACTCGCCTGCCCTGCACCACTGACAGACAAAAATGATTTCAAGTACATTTCACGTATAGTCATCCTTTAGGCAAGTCAACAGGCATCTTTTATCCCATGCTGTTGCCTGAGAGAGGGGATCTGAGTGTGTGCATGAGACAGTGCCTACCTTGTCTGCTCCACACTCTGTACCGTCCAGAGGAGGGTCAAGTTTGGTCTTGCAGGATGCATCTCCCTCTACTAAACACCACAGGCCAGCGCACATCAGGTGCTGATATATATACACAGACACACAGATACCATAAATTCTCATGTAAAAGCCAGTATTCACATGGTAAATTCAACATCAAATCAACTACTGTCTAATTCCATCAGCATTATTTTTTTTATTTTACCATTATTTTACCAGGAAGTCTCATTGAGATCAAAAATCTCTTTTACAAGAGAGACCTGGCCAAGGCAGCAGTCATACATAAACACAACATATTAAAATGCTTCGTACAATCATGACAAAATTCACAAAAACAAAAAAACAAAAAAACAACACAAAAAACACATCTATTCAAACACAATGGCCTCTCAAGAAAAACAATCACATTTCTCTTTCTCTTTTTGCTAATTATTCCATGCCCAGGGTGCATAGTATGAAAATGCAGTTTTCCCCAGATCTGTCAAAACCCTGGGTACATTAAAAAGCAACCACTTGGAGGAGCGTAGTTTTTAACTAGCAGAATTGAGACAGAGAAGGGTACAGAGGTAAGCTGGAAGTTTACCTAGCATGGCTTTATATATAAAAATATACCAGTGCTGTTTTCTGCGGGTGGTCAGCGATGTCCAACCTACCAGATCATAAAGAATGCAATGGTGAGTGACGGACTTTGCATTTGTAATAAAATGTAGAGATGCATGATACACTGAATCAAGGCTCCGTAAGATGGAGGAGGCTGCGTGCATATATAATATGTCACCATAATCAATCACAGACAAAAAGTAGTTTCCACAAGTATTTTTTGGCATTGACAGTAAAGCTAGATTTATTTCTAAAATAAAAGCCAATGTTCATTTTGAGCTTCCTAACTAGATTAGCAATAAGTACATTAAATGAAAGTTTGTCGTCTCTCCATATACCCAAGTACTTGTACGCGGGTACCATTTCAATGGATTTACCATCAGACGTAAAAATGCTAAGATCATCAAGCAACTGTATGCGAGCTTTTGAGAAGACCATGAACTTAGTTTTCTGAGGATTTAAAACCTATTTTAAATTGAGCAGAGTTTGTTTTTACTGAAATGCAGTCTGAAGCTCTTGCAAAGCCTGTGCTATGGAAGGAGCATGAGTATAAATGACAGTGTCATCAGCATAAAACTGTAGCCACCTGTCGGAAGCTCCGTCTTAAACCGAACTCTTATCCAGTTTTAATCCACTTTTTTTTGTTACATTTTTTATATCCTTTTTATTTAACTTAAGTTTTTTACTTAAGTTTTACGTGGGTTAAGGATTTTAGTCATCCGACATGGATTTTAAGCTAGATGACCGTAAAAACGCGATCAACGCTACTGATCGCAACAAAGCTCCGGTGACTATGCTAGCCGAAATAACTCTGCTCCATGAGGACTGCTCACTCCTTAAGAAAGCGAACAAGAAGATTGCTGACCTTATGGAAGACATCCGACGACTTTCAGAGAAACTCAAAGAGAAAGATTCCCTGCTGACTGGCTTTATGGATGTGGCTTCAGTACAAGCCAAACAGATTGTTTCTCTTAGCGCAACCGCTAACATCCAGGACACCGTGTTTTGGGACCCCTCTATCCTTTCGAGGCTTTCCTCCTGCTCAAATCCGAAGTATCAGTCAACCTGGGCTGAATTGGTGGTCCGTGGCTTTAAGAGAGGCTCGGATGGGGTTGCCTCTCCTCCGCACATCGGCCTCTCCAACCGCTATGCAGTCTTGTCTAACGACACTCCGGTCCAACCAGCGGATTCGAGTCTCCCTGATACAGATCTCTTTCGGCGCAAAGTGCCTGCCGACACTGTTGCATCTCCTCCACCGGCTACATCTCCTGCACTGGGCCGCCGGTCTGCCGGGCCTGATCGGTGGCCGTCATCCCGGTCAAAAACCTCCGCTTCCTGACGTAGGATCCTGAAGGAGGCTGTGCTCTGACGCTCCGGAGGCCGTCTCTACCCTGCACCGTCGGGTAGCCCTTCTCTCAGGTCTGTTACTGCTACTCCAACACAACACTCGGCAGATCACACGCTCCATCCTCAGTCCGCACGCAGTGTTGAAGAAGATTCTGCTCAGTCCTGCTCTGGAACCCCACAACTGGCATCTCCTCGTCCTCTTTTCTCCCCAACCACACTAATAATTGGTGACTCCATAACCAGAAACATCCATTTCTTTAACACTACCACTCACTGCTTCCCGGTGCCACCACAGCTGAAATTTTAAAAAAACTCCAGGACCTAATGCCGTCGCTCCCGTCCTCCATCACAAGAGTGATAGTCCATGTCGGAACAAATGACACAGCTCTTCGGCAGTCTGAGCTGACAAAATCAGATTTAACCGTCTTTTTAACTTTTTAAAGCAGTGTGGAAAGTCCGTTTTTATCTCTGGTCCCATTCCCACAGTTGGTCGCGGTGCTGGCCGCTTCAGTAGACTCCTTGGCCTCCACGACTGGCTACAGTCCGCCTGCAGAGCTCATCGTGTGTGTTATGTGGATAATTTTAATATTTTCTGGCAAAGAATGTCTCTTTTTAAGACAGACGAACTTCACCCAAACAAACGGGGCTCAGAAATGTTAGCTGCGCACATACAGCATGTGGTGCGGTCCACACATGACTTACGTGAATGACTAATCATTCATGCAGCACACCTGGACACACCACCGCTCACTGAACAGATCTCTGCCTCACTGCCACAAATAACTGTCTCCACCTGCTGGCATGTAAAGCCGTCTGCTCCCAGCTCTGTTCCACAGACTTCTATTCCTGTCATCATCACACATAGACCAGTAAACCGAAATGTGCACATCCCACACAGAAATATTAGTAATCTCTTAAGGATTAGGACAACTGCACCAACTCAAACACCCAGAACAAACTCATTTAAAATGGCTCTCTTCAATGTGAGATCACTTTCAAGTAAGACTTTTATCTTAAATGATTTTATCTTGTCTGCAAATCTAGATTTTATGTTTTTAACTGAATCCTGGTTGCAAATGAATGACTATAGCCAGCTAGCTGAACTGTGTCCGCCTCAATATGATTGTTTTAGTCAACCGAGGGTCAGTGGTCGTGGTGGTGGGCTAGTGAGCGTGTATAGGAAAAATTTAAAATGTCATCAAGTACGCTGTGATGAATTTAACTCCTTTGAAGTTCTCACTCTTAAAGTTGGAGGGCTGCAACCTATCATATTTGTTACAATTTATCGCCAACCAAAACCGCCTGGAGGATTTTTATCAGAACTTCCTGAATTTTTATCTACTCTGGTTTTAAATTATGACAGAATTGTTCTTTGTGGTGATTTTAATATTCATGTTGATGACCCCAACAATGTTAATGCAACTAACTTTTTAAATATGGCCACTTCTTTTAACTTCAAACAACATGTCAAAGGGCAAACCCATAACCGTGGTCATACACTGGACTTGGTTTTTACCCTGGGTGTCAGCATTTCCTCTGTGGAATTAGTGGACATGACCATATCTGACCACAGATGTATTGTTTTTAGCTGCGATTCGCCTGTTACTCATGCCGCCTCACCAAGCTCCGTGTGTTCTCGCATCTTTAATGAACAAAGTGTTTCAAAGTTTTGCGCATTCTTTCAGAGCCAAAGCCAACACCTGTCTGATTCCAACACCAACAATCTGGTCGATCACTTCAATCATATCTGCTTGTCGTCACTAAATATTACTGATCCTCTAAAGGTTAGGCCTACGTCTAAAGCTAGTAAGCAACCCTGGATAAATGACAGCATTCGCAGCCTCAAAAGGGAATGCAGGACCATTTTACACGCCTTCATCTCATCACGCCTGGATTATTGCAACAGCCTTTTCACCTGTTTAACCCAAAAATCTATTGATCAACTCCAGACTGTCCAGAACTCAGCTGCCAGGCTTTTAACCAGAACAAAGAAATATGACCACATTACTCCTATTTTAGCTTCATTATTGATCACTTTTAAAGCTCTTCATGGCCTCTCGCCTTGTTATATTTCTGAGCTTTTAGTCCCATACACACCAGCACGTACCTTGAGATCCTCGGGCAGAGGTCTGTTGTCTGTTCCAGAGTGTCGACTGAAAACTAAAGGGGACAGAGCGTTTGCTGTTGGGGCCCCGAGGCTCTGGAACAGCCTGCCCGAGGAAATCAGGTCGGCTGAGTCAGTGAACTCTTTTAAGTCCCTTCTTAAAACATACTTTTATAGGAGAGCCTTTCCCGATCTTATTTGACTTTATTTTATCCCTTTTATTTTATTGTATTTTACTAATTTTATATTAATCTGTATTTTAGTCTTTTCAATGTTTTCATGCTCTTATCTTGTTTTTTGTATTATTCTTTACACTTGTTAAAGCACTTTGTAACTTGTTTTTGAAAAGCGCTCTACAAATAAGGATTATTATTATTATTATTATTATTTTTGCTTGAACGTCCTTACCTAAATCATTTATAAAAATAGAGAACAGAATAGGTCTCAAAACAGACCCCTCGGGGTCCCCTTTAGATATCTCAAGTAACTCAGATTTGTGGCCTTCTGCATAGACACACTGAGTCCGATCGACAAAATAGTTTCTAAACCTCAGTCTAAACATCAGTCATGCCATGCTCCCCACTCTGCTGCTCTCAGTTTTCCTTTTTAAAAGGAGCTATAAGCGAAGCGACATTAGCTTCCACTAAAGTTTGCAATGGAGCACCAGCATCTCAGACAAGCAGTTTCCCTCACTCCGTAAAGGGTTAACAATAGCAGAATCAGACGTCACAGCAGCCCAGCACAGTGTGGTTGGGAGACATGAAAAAGAAGAGGAGTCAAGTTGTCTCGTGCCATTTTAAAGTAGGCACCATCAGTCTCCAATTCCAAAATAATACAGTAAAAATGATCTCAAATGGAGCCTGAAGCCCCATTTGCACTGGTCGTCACAAGACTATACTTTTGGAATGACGTGCAGACTACATAAGATTGAAATAATCAGTGAAGCTATTCTGCTATGCCTTGTGCATAAATGCACACAGCGTCTCTCTTCACCCTATTTAACCCACTCGCAAGCCACCCGCTGTTAACC